TAAAAGATATTCTAGTGAATCAGGTTCAGCTTCAATCATAGCATTCAAAAACATTTCAGAAAGTGTTTTGTGACCATATTTACATGCTATATGTAATGGTGAATTACCATTATAATCAAAATCTAGTGATAAACTTTTATATTCCTTAATTATTAATTCACATATTTTAATATGAGCATTCGGTAACAATTCGTTTTGTAATATTTTGTAATTTTCTGCACATAAATGTAAAATATTTTGTTTTTTATTTTCTGTTTTTTCTTTCTCAATATTTAAATTTAGTTTATGCTGTTCTACTAAATATTTTATACATTTATCATTACCATACTTAGCAGCTACTAATATTGGTGTGTAACCATTGTTATCTTTAACACTAAGTTGATCTGGTTTTTCTTTTCTTTCACATATATAAGTAAGTAGAACTTCATTATTATATCTACATGCCAGATGAAGTAAATATAGACACGATTTTTGATTAACATTATCTGATTGATGAATACCACTGTCACCTAATTCCTGTTGGCTATCCTTATACTTTTCCAAATATTTGTCTAATATTTCAGGATTTTTTGATTCAATTGCAGATTCTATAGACAGATTTGATACATCTGTTAATTCGATTAGTCTAATGACACATTTTAGAAAATCACGTTTAGTAACTATTGTTAACGCTGTTCGACCATCAGAATTTTTTATATTAACGTACTGGTTTAAATTCCTTTGCTTTTTGTCTTGTCGTATATGTTCGTGTTCTGCTTGTGAATCAACGGGAACGAGGACATATAAAGTACGAGATGTCCATCAAATAATAAATTAATCATTCGTCATCTTTTTGTGATGAAAAACAAGCAAAATGTAATGGTGTGGCATTTAATCTACTTACGGCCTTAAAAAAATTAAATTAAGTAACGCCATTTAAGAAAGAAGAAGGAATAACTTTTAAGAGGAGGGTCATCCCATTTAGATTTTCCTCTAGCATTCTCAGTTTGTAGAGGATACTTCGAAGTATATGTCCTGAAGTTTTTTCGGCTTGCTGACATTATTTGACTGAGAAAAAAATTAATTACTTAAAAAAATGTTGTTAAACTTTTGCGCACGGAGCTATTATTAAAAAATTTCCTGTCCATTCTCCATTCATCATACAATGTTGGTGCTTACCTAGATCGATAGAGAAATGGGTGGAGAATATTTACTACGAGAAAATATGTAAAACTTTTTCTTCTCTCCTTCCTGTTATTGGCTAATTAGCATTCATTAATTTAGCTTACTCCGATACATATTTCAAAAATTTTCCTTGATTTTCAGTTTTTGATGAAAATCTCTGTAATTATTCGACATGAAAATTCAGAAAAAATAAAAATGATCGAACAAGATAAAAAAAGTACATCATTTGACTCGATTTCTGACGCTGAGTCCGAATATAATATTTTCATTGTACAAAAGTTGAGTTCTGATGAGGAAAATTGCGAATTAGGAGTAGAATTTCCACTAATCTTAGTAAAGTCGACGTATCGAGCGGCTAAAAATGCATTCTAAAATTTTTAAGGCAATTCACCTTGTAGCCCGTGAAATTCTCTATCAGATGAGGTATTGTTTGAATCTTTTTGTTTGGTCATTATTTTACAAATGAGACTTTAAGCTAGTAGAGTAAGCTAAATTAACGTTAATTAGTGCTAATTAGTCAATAACAGGAAGGAGAGAAGAAAA